GCTGGCATGGGCTTGTTGTGCCACAAGCACTGTTTGCAGCCTTCCAAACAAACACACACAAAGATGAACCGGAAGTGATTAGGCATCTGATGAAGGAGATTCTAGAGATGGAAAAGGCACTTGTTGTTCATCATGCAATGGATGATCTTAACTTCTTGAGAGGAACGGATGATCAGTACTTGGATTTATTAGAAAATGATAAATTGCATAGAGACAATGATTATCCTGTTTTCCCAACAATTGTCGAGTGGGAGGGACTACCTAAGTTTCTACCACAGACGTTGGACGTAGGTGTCCCTATTATTGTAGAAATCAGGCAAGTGGTCTTCTTGATGATAGAGATGAAATACAAGAAATGCGTGTCAACTAGGGTCTAGATTACGATGCCCTCGGTCCCGAAGGGTACATACACGATGTAGACGAAGAAGTTGAAGACAGTGACAATGAAATAGTGCCAGACAGCGATGATAATGGCGAATGACAATTGTTTTTTTTGTTTAAATAGGTTTATGTTAAATTGTTGTACTGAAGTATTAATGTTAAATATAAAAAAGATATAACAGCAATGGAAACATAATTTTCTTTCATACATTCTGCAAGATAAACAAGTACATACACTTATTACAAATACATTACGGAAACAAAAATAGTACGTATATCCTTGATAGTTGGGCACATTAGATGAACTTCCACCAGGAGTTGGATTACCATCGCCACCCAAACCAGCTGAAGGACATTTACAACGGTCGTGTCCTATTTGCGAGCATATGCCACATTTATGTGCATAAACGATATCACCAACATCCATTTGGTTCCTTATACGCGTTCGTTTTTGCACTTGTAGCTTATGCAAATAGTCCTTGTTACACACCATTTAAAATGGTTCCGGCGGCCAATAATGCTCAGGACCGACTGGCGGCAACTGCCACTATATGTGTTTAAGTATGCAGCAACACTGTATTGCTTATCAACATAGTTGGTTGGCCCTAAACCTGTATGTTGAAAGAACTTGATGGCATGTGAGCACGACATGTGGTAGATGGACCATTTCCCACAAGAACACAACCTGCTGGCTTCATTTACGGTGTGAATATTATTCCCCCGATTTTGATGGATAGCGGTGCGAACTTCAAAAATATTTCACTCATTGCAATACTGTAGAAATGAATGCTAATGTGCTCGCCTCCTGTATTTCTCAAATCTTTTCATTGGTATTGGCATAAATTCAACACCCCTCTCCGATTCCGATGCACCTCTATGCCTTTCAACAAACCTCTCCGCCGTCTGTTTGAATGACATCCGCACCATGGCAGTGACATGCAATCCACGTGCAGACTTCAATAACCCGTTGGAAGACTGTAACACATTTGTAGTCAGGGTTTCTCATCGTCTGCCACCATCCGCATGCAATGTCCACTTGTGAAGCTCATGTCGCATCAACCAATGATAGGCTCTTTCATCTTCCTGCCTGATCGATTCCATGCGCCTCCTGAATTTGCACTCCTGGTGATCAGTTGCAGCCAGCCACATTAAATCATACAACTTCTTGTTGGGATATTTCTTCTGGAAATTGGCCTTCAGGTGCCTCACACAGTAACAGTGGTATGCATATGGTTCCCGCCATTCAGGTAAATGCTCTATAGAACTTAATATACCGCCATGCCGATCTGATATTAGACAAATATCTGAACGTTATTTAACAACGTGCTCCTTCAAGTGGTTCAAAAATAGCGTCCACGTCTCTTGGCTTTCATTGGCACAGATGGCAAAATCTAGGGGAAATATTTGTCCATTGGCATCTACTGCAATGAAGATCAACAACTTAATATCATACTTTCCATAGACATGAGTACCTTCTATGGATATTACCGGCCAGCAATGCACAAAACCATCGATTGCTGGTTTAAATGCCCATAACACGTATCTGAATATATATTCTGGTATTCCCGCACTCCGCTCAAGCTTCCATTCAACAATAGCCCCGGGGTTAAAGTGTTGCAATGCGGCCATGTACCGGGGTAGAGATGCAAATGACTTATCCCAGTCACCATAAACAATTTCAAATGCACGTTTGCGCTCGAGATATGCCTTTCTTTTGGTAATAGTACACTCATATTCCTGGTGGACGGATGTAATACACTCTTTGATCTTGTACCTTATGGACGCTTCAATGTGTGGAATCAAGACAAGAGAAATCAAGTCAACATCCAATTTGAAGTGATTCCCATCGAATTTTTCCATTTTATAATTGTGGGTGCCAATGTATTTACCCACTTTCCACATATTTATTTTCTTCTTTATCGCACACAGCATTCAATTACAACCCGTAAGCCATCTACGGCAAAAAACCTTGTATACATCTGGAGATGACTCCCATATCGTCATCTCACGGCACTCTTTTACGCTGTACATTTTCACCACCCTGCTTAGGCGCGCCTTATAAGAAAAAAACATTTTCTTTGACACCACCGTTGGTCTAGATTCATCCCACATTGCTGTCCGAATTTCATCAATATCCCTTGTGAGGGCATCCACATCTGGCGTACTTGGCAAATGATCAAGGTAGGAAATATGCCTTGAATGAAACGACACGTGGGACTCGTACACTCTTGGTCTAACGGGAGGTGGAGCATGCTCCCTCGTCAAATCAGGTTCGACATTCTCTTCCTCCTCATCATCACCCTCGTCAGGGAAGGGTGTGTCATCTCCAGACTCATCGACATTGTTGTCATAATCACCATTATCTTCCTGACTCTGCGCATCTGCCAGATCCCGAGTAAATACGTCATCTTCGAGCAATTGAGTGAGGGCAGGACCATCAAGTTGCTCGTTTTCACTGCACAACCAAAGAAATAATGATTTACTAAAATTGGTCCAAACAATACATATAACTTTATATATTCACTTACAAATCATAATGTGTTGATATCCCATGATGCACATTATCTTGTTGATGCTGACTCTCGGATGGACCACCATGATCCAACACACCAAAACTAGGCATATTCCAACAGGCTGTTGGTTCATAACTTGTAAAATTCATATCTGGTCGGTACCCCCTGTGGAATATATGAGTGTTAATACAAATACAATACACAAAAATATACATCGTAACACAAAGGAAAATTGAAGCTTACCACTCGGCTTGTGGATTATTTATACTAGGGGAAAAATTATTTCCTCGCTCCTCATTCGCATGTGGAGATAAGTTTAGATCTAACCAAACTCTTTAAGTCGGAACCTGTTCGGCTAAAACTGCTTCAAAATAACCACCCGATGATTGAGGGATTTCCTTACTTTGCGCAACCTCATTATTGCGAACGTCTTTAGTCTTGGCGTACATTTCCAACAGTTTTATCACAATAAATTCCCTGTATTCATCCGGAGTCCCCAAAAAATCTCTCAGAGTTTCATCGTCTTCGTTGTTAAACTTAGCATAACAAGCAACCCCTTGCGGAGTCACATAATACGGATATCTTCCGGTTATTTTAAGATTCACCAAACGTTTGCTCACACTCATTTTATTACATAACTATAATACCAATCTATCGTACTCCATTGTAAGTGACAACTTAACATGACACTGTGGAGATAAACTATAGCTTACTGAGTTATTCGCCACCACAACCTCACTCCCCAATATAATGAAACCCTAATTTTTCGCTCTTCAGACGTTATGACAAAATGCAAAACAACTTAACAAAGAAAAATTTCAGAGCACTTGAAGATGTTTATGAATGGATTTTTACAAAATCCTTCGCCTATTTAAATAAGCCAAAAACCAGTCCGAGGTTCAATTATTTGAGGTATAGCGTCTTTTAAAAAATGCTATACCCAGTTGAATTATTGTTATGTCAGTTACACACAGAAAAACTATTTGTGGGCCCACTTAATATGTATATCGTTTTAGTAAAGAACGCTATACATATAGCGTCTTTTTAAAAGATGCTATACTTGACTGGCCAAACGGTCGTTAAAGTATAGCGTCTTTTAAAAAGACCGCTATATATACTTTGGTCAATAACTTTAAACCTTACATAACTAAGCCCCACACACGGTCTCAACAAGACAGCCTTGCGGCGATTTCCAAAAAAGCGAAAAATGCACGATAGTTCTTTAAAACTCAACAACCCGCGATCCATCTCTTACACTTTGTTTGGATCACTGTTCCCCATCGTTTTATAATGTATCATATTGTACTGTATTGTATTGTATCGTATCGTTTTATGAATACAATGTTTGGATAGATTGTATTGTTCGTTGTTGTTAAATAACATTTTGCTGTTTGGTTTGACTGTATCGTACTGTACTTTAACTGATAAGTTTACTACAATACCCTCAATTATTTTAAATATTTAATTTATCAAAAATTACACATAAAAATTATTTAAGAAAACCACTTTCTACTAACTAATCACTAATTATGTCTTATATATAAATTAAGCAATTAAATTCATGCAAATTCTATCGAAATTAGTTGAACAAGTTAATAATATTAAAAATAATAATAAGTACACTATATTTATAATTAGATCATAATAATAAAAATTTTAAAAAAAATATTAAGTAGACTCCATTCAGACAAAAGTAAAACAAAATATTTACCTGAAGAGTATAGAGAAGCGGCAGAAGAACAAAATGAGTTTTTCACGTATGTAGGTTATTATATACTAGGTTATATTTGGGATGTCGTCTTGAGAATTTATATCGGTTATTAGACTTCATGTAGAATTCTATTACAAAATTATGTGAGAAAGAGACTTTGCTATTATTTAAAATAAAAAGGTAAAGGGTAAAATAGAATTATAAAGTAATAAGTTAGGGCATAATTAGAAAGAAAAATAGGAAACGATTCCACCACACCAAATCGGTTGTTTCAAAAAATAGACTTTCCATTGTTCCGGAACAATGGATTTAACAATACAATACAACCAATTTTAACTAAACAATCAAAACAATTATTCGGTGAAAACAATACAATACGATACAATAGTTAACAACCATCCAAACAAGCTGTTAGAAAGAAAGGACAACTGGACGAGCAAATCTCAAATTCCCAATCCTTCCAGAAACCCTCGGCTCAGACTGGTCGCCGCTATTCCGTCATCCAACACCGTCGGCAACTTCTCCAGTTAGTCCCTTTCTGCCGTCTCTTTTTCTCTCTCTCTTTTAACCTGTCTCTATGTGGGGTTTCGACTGTTGTGGTTTCTGGTGGTATCATGGTGTTGTATGACTGCGTGGTACTGAGTTGCTTTAGTGGAGGTCAGGGAAGTCTTGAGAAGGTGGTTCGGCGTAGGATTAGCGTGTATATCTGTCGTGGTCCGTTTGTGTATATACTACTTAATCTTTATAACCGTAGTTGCATATTTCATCTCGATTTGCAGACTAACTTTCCCTATTTCCGAGTGAGACTGATGATTTTTGCAACTTCTGCCATTAGTTTCTTGGCCTTTTTTTTTGATAATTATTTGGTTACTAGCTGATATGTTTGTCCATCTTATACTGTGTTTCCAGTAGAATGTGTTGATTTGCAGAAACTTTGTATGTGTATAAAGGTTTAATATTTACCAGATTATTTTTGTCAGCTGTAGTATTTTACATTGACATTGCTATCAAACTCGTCAAATCTATTTTACCTTATAAAAAAATATTGTCACATCTAATTAACAAGAAGCACATGATGTTTACAGAGATTGCGAGATCAGGTCCTGATTCAGTAACTCCATAATATTCTCTAGAGAAACTAGTTAAAATGATTACTTACAACCTGCACTAATTGACATGTAGCTAGTGTCAAATACCAGCAGTGAATGCTCCTAGAAATTTTTATGGCCAAGATTGATCTCTTCTCCTCCACCCATGTAACATTCTCTTTCTCTCCCCAAACAAAGAATAGCCGCACAGTACCCCAACATAATGAAAAGCTTTCGCTGCCAAATTCGAAACAGATTCACTAGAGAATTCCAAATCTGTTATTCTTTCTTTGAACACAAGAGATTTCGAAATGGGTAAACAAAGCTTGTGGAAAATAAAATTGAATGAAAACTTTAAATATGAGTAGTGTAGCAGAGAAGAAAAGATCTTGTGTTCATCTTCCTGTAACTGTTTTCCTCTACAACATTTACTCCATACTGTCATGAACATTTCCAAGAGGTTGTTTTAAAGGAAATAAGGTGTAGGGAACTTGGAAACGAAAAGAAGCAAAAGGATTGGGTATGTTTCAACTAAATTGCTCTCTGGAAAAAGCAAAATGAATTCCTATTTCAAGCTAGAGATGAAAATGGAACAATGTACAGTTTGTTGGCTGAACAAGTGAGCATATGTTTGGTTCTCTGTATATGTTCTTTGTTTGGGGAGAGAAAAAGAGTGTTACATGGTTGGAGGAGAAGATATGCAATTCCGTTAAAATTTTTGTAGGAACACGTGGCTATGGGTATTGAGCATTACTGGAGCATTTACTACTGGAGGGAATCCAGACCCGTCAAATACCACTTGGATCGCTTTATTAGTGAATGCTTACTCTGAAGGGTTTGATTTACTAGACTTTGATCCAAATTAGTTGAATAGCTTTACCTTTTTCCTAGATGTCATTAAATCATTAGGATGGAAAAGAAGAAATTCATGCACGCCCTTCTATCTACGCATATACCTGTTCCAATCTTAATGTTTTGTAATCTCAACTTTCAGGGTCTGTTTGGTTAGGGGGTTATCCTAGTATAAAATTTGGAAATAAGTTCGTTTAGTGTTTGGTTGTGGCCTTCTCATTTAAAGACACTTTTAGGGCAAAGAAGTGTTATATTTTTGTTTGTTTTATATTTTAATTCTTGATTTTAGAGGAAAGTAAGGTTCATTATGTTATTTGTTAGCACCAAGAGAGTGTTGGTATACAAAATTGCAACATTTAGTAGGGATCGAGGAGCGAAAGAACTCTTTTTCGCTCTCCAAGTCATTTACAGCTTTTAAATTACACCAAAGAGACAAAAGATAGAGACAAGTGTGCTTGAAATGACGCACAGATCTCTTGTATTGTTTCTTTTGGGTGTCAGAATTATTATTTTAGGTTATTTCCTCATAGCATATGTAGGCAAACAGAAAGAAGAGTCAAAAGAGAAAAAACGACTTTCCCCTTTATGCAAACAATTGCCCTGCTTTATCCTTCATCACGTCCCAACGTTGCCCCAGGGCCTTGCACCTCAACAAACTTTCAATGGTCTATCTAATCCTGTCTGCAGAACCTTGCCCAGTCTGAACCTTTGCAAACAAGCTTACTGCTCCCCGCCTGCTGCTTTCTGTCCGCACTTCCCTTGTTATCAAACCCATCTTCTTTTGTCCTGTTGTTGCCCATATAACTGTAAAAAGGCAATAAATTGAACAATGCCTCTCTTAATGTGAAATGAGACATTACTTTCAAACAAGTTTAAGTACTTCCCAATGAGTTTAAACGGAGCATCAAAATTTTGGAGAAAATTACACTGCCTAGTAGTAGATATACAAATTGACCAACGATGTCAAAAGTGTCTCCAAATATTTTTTACTCATTCTCTGGACATCAAGGGTTTTTTTCTTTAACCTAACTTCTCTGATGACATTGTTCGCATTTCAACTACTGAGCATTGGTTCAAATTATAAATGAAGCTCGCTGGAGTCTAGCTAAAAAGAATTTGCCTTGGTCTACGAAAGTGAAGGATGAAAGCAAGTCTTAAATGATCTTTGAGTTGTAAATCCAGTACTTGACTTGAAGCTATCTCATAAAAATGTGGCTTTTGTACTCTCTTTTAGCTATCTGTTACAATTAGTAATAATTACCTTTAGAATGAGATACAAAATTTCATTTCTTGAAGAAGAGAAGTACTCCCTGAATGTTGAGCTCTATCTGAGATCTTATGATATTTCAGTTAACCTCCTTATTGACACTCCATTGATGTCTTTGTTTCCTTAAAAGCAGAAATGGTGATTCCTCCGCCAATTAGACCAGACAGAGTGACGAAGTATCTCAAACCATATGTGCTGAGGATGCACTTCACAAACAAGTATGTAAACGCTCAAGTAGTTCACACGCCAACTGCAACAGTGTCTACTTCTGCAAGCACACAAGAGAAAGGCTTAAGGCTTGCCATGGTAGAAGCAAAAGAAAATACTAGAGATGTGGCTGCAGCTGCAAAAATAGGTAAGTTATTGGGAGAGCGGTTGCAGGCTAAAGGTATTCCTGCCATATCTGTTTTCTTTAAGAGAGAGCAAAGATACCATGGAAAGGTCAAAGCAGTTATTGATTCAGTGAAAGAAGCCGGCATAGAATTGGTTTGATTTGGAGCACATGACCGTTTCCTCGTTTCATGTCCTGCCGGATTTCCTCCCCAAGGCAAAGAATTTATTTGTCTATTGGCTTTGCAAATCCATTTTCCTAGTTAAGCGCTATTTGGACAATTTCTCGTCTCACTTCTTGCAACTGGAGCAATGTGTGGTTTGCAATGTATAAGATGTCACATTTTGCAACATTATCACAATTCACATGATACTTTGATCAACGTATAATAACTTATTAGGCTTTCAAACCGCCTACTTAAGGATAGTGATTGGAAGATGCTTTAATTAAGCAATTGATAATTTTCTTGACTTTAAGTTTTGAGGGAATCAAATAAAATTTGTCAGTAATATTAAGAATGTCTCAATGCTGTACATCATTCGTGACGGTAATATGCTTCAATTTAATGGGATTAGAGAATAAAATGGAGAAAATTTTACTTTATACCCATCAATTTCAAACTATTTACCTTTTAATGTCCAGGCCCAAACTATTTACTACTCTTATCCATGCGCCCAAAACTATTTACCCGGTTATTAACTTTGTATAAACTCTTCCACAAGAAAGAATCAGAAATACAGTGAAACAAAAAAAAAATCAAGCAATAGCAAAGAAAAAGGTAGCCATGGATGCGGAAGAAGGAACACAACAACCCCAGCTAGTTCTTGCACACAAACTCTTCCTTTTGACACACCCAGATGTCAATGATAGGATAAAGTTCGCGTCCATGAAGAAGACTTGGACAAACTCTTCCATTTTCCCTTATATCATTCTTCAAAGGAAATAAGATCTGATTATCTGAAAAGTTGACCTCTGGCTAGTTTCAATTCTGCTCCACTTTTTTTCTATTGTTCTTTCCCTATTCTTGCTCTTGCCTTGGCCCTTGAATTTAAAATTTTTAATTGAAGATTTCTTGTTTGATTCAAAGTGGGTGTTGCTAAATATTGCTTATAGTACCTTTTGGAAGTTCATATTATTTGGAGCTGATTTGAGATCGAAATTTTCAGTTGAAAATCGAAGAAGATTACAGCTACAGTATACCACTACGGTATACAATATGTTGTAGGAGTATATAGCTATACTGCAACAGTATACTATTATAGTTTACAATATACTTCAACGATATGTTGTAATAATTGAAGAAGAACACAGTTACCTAACATTATAGCGCTACAATATACAATGTACTATAGGAGTATATAGTTATACTACAACAGTATACTATTATAGTATATATTATATTGTTATAGTATACTGTAATAATATGCAATATACTGTAACAGTATGCTGTAATAATATACAATATACTATAATAGTATATTTATTACACGTAAATTCACTTGCCTTTTCCCTTTTAATTTGCTTTAAGCTTTTACCCAGCGTGAGGGGCAAATTGAAAATGCAAAAAATAAAATAAAATATTATAGTATGATATATAACGTAACGGTATAATCTTACAATTAGATCCTTTTAGAATTTTTTGAAATTTTTATTGACAACTGATATTATTTCAGTTTAATAATTGAATTAATTTTTTTTAATGAATTAATTTTTTTAACTCTTTGCATACAATTATATACACTGTTGGTATAGCTATATACTATACTGGTATCATATGTTAGTTAATATTTTTTGGTTGTATTAGCTACACTTAATTGGTACCAATTTGGTTATTCTTTAGTAATAGTATACAAAAAAGAATAATAAAAAATAGAGAAAACAGTAAATGGAATTAGATTATGAAGAGAAAAAGAATATAAAAAAAGAAGTTAAATGAAATTAGAAAAGGAAAAAAGAAAAAAATAAGAAGAAATCGAGAAAAAAGAAAAGGAGAAAAAAAGAAAAAAGAAAAGAAAAGAAGCATAGAAATAAAAAAGAATTGGAAAATAAAGCAAAAATTCCCCACAAAAACTACTATGGGTAGGAAATGTAATTAGTTTATGAGTAGAAAAACAAATGGGTAGACAAGGGTAAATAGTTTTGTTTTGGTGGGTAACTATGTCAAAACCCCAATAAAATGTGAAAATAATATGCGCCAGCTAGTTTTCGGATTGGTAATTGAAATTAGCCAGCATCTATAATGTCATTGAAAAATAGTCATTATTTTATGTGGAGAAAAAATCTGGACAAAACCTTAGCTGAAACACGAAAAGTTTCAGCATAAAATATGTTGGATTATAAAGCTCCTACGTATAAACTTTCAGCATATTATGTTGGAATTCAGCACGGTATGACATTCCAGCACAGTATGCTGGAATCTCATATGTAAAAAATTTGGAATTTTTTGGGATTTTAAGGGTGTTTTGCCCAAAATTTATCTTCACATGAAAAAATTACTAAATTTCGATAATTTTTTAAACTGTGACTATTTTAATTACTAATTGTAAATTACGCTATTTTTGATTTTTTCCCCCCCGAATACAATTGGAACTTATGGGTTTTCTTTATTTCCTGATACAAGGAGTTCATTGACAGCAATAATGTTTAATTGGCCACAGCATTCGCAAGGTATAGATGAGTCACTACTCACTATAACTATAAATTTGTTGGTGGGTCGTGGAATATTACCCATTTACGATTTTCTCAATAACTTTTTTCCCAATTTTTTTTTTTAGTTCTGATTCCCCTTCAGTTATTTCCCCTAAGAATATATTTATTTGGGTTTCTTTTGAAACGTAATAAGTACTTCTTTATCCTTATTCATAGGTCGTAAGTTTGAGCTCTGTAAATGAACTCGCTTTTGTTTGACCAAAAAATATATACTTTCGGTTAAACTATTAAGTTTTATGTAATGAGGGATTAAACTTTGTTAATGACAATATATCTAGATTTTGAACTTGATAGCATGGACAGCGTAAGATAAAGTCGGTGGGGAACTGAAAGTGATGCACATTTAATATTCCAAAAGATGTGAGCAATAATATAGGAATATCAAGCAATAAACAACAATAAATGACATTCATGTAGATAAGGAGAATAATTCACCAAATAATGAATGAGGTGGATGATTCTTCCTTCTGACAATGATGAATGACAGACAAACCCTAGAATGTTTGAACTATTCTCGAATCTGATGGAAAAGTATGGAATAATGTGAGCAAGAATCTTGCTGAAAAGGTGAAGTTTGTATCTTTGCTAGAGAGAGAGAGAATCTTCTTCTCAAAAAGTGTTCTTGTCCCGTGAATATTATCTCTTCTACACTATTGTCTCTTTTTCTATTTATATGAGTCACATCCCTAACGAGCCCTAATAGTACAAGTGCAGAGAATATTCTATAGAATATTCACTTTACAATTGGTGCTCGACCTCGGTCGTTGTTGACAGCCCGGCTAGGAATCTCACTGCTTACTGGTCGACCTCGACTAATTCTTTCCTTAGTGCCACTTTACGCCAAAATTCCTTAGGGCAGATTTTGGCCTATATAGTTAGTCCCTCCGCTTATTGAGCCGACCCCGGACGACCTTGATGAGCAGACCCTGTTTGTCGTGGTTGGGAAGTTTGGACGAGCAAGTCGAGTAGTGGCGTTTCGGAAGAGGTGATTGTTTGACCAAAAAATATAAACTTTCGGTTAAACTATTTAATTTTATGTAATGAGGGGTTAAACCTAGTTAATGATAATATTTCTAGATTTGGAACTTGACAGCATGGATATTGTAAGATAAAACCGGTGGAAAATCGAAAGTAATGCACATTTAATATTCCAAAAGATGTGAGCAATAATGAAGGGATATCAAGCAATCAATAGCAATAAATGGCATTAATGTAAATAGGGGGACCGATTCACCCAAAAATGAATGAGGTGGATGATTGTTCCTTCTGACAATGATGAATGACAGACAAATCCTCGGATATTCGAACTATTCTCAGATCTGATGAAAAGATATGGGATAACGTGTGCAAAAATATTGCAAAAGGTAAAATTTGTATCTTTGCTATATGAGAATCTTCTTCTAAAAAGTGTTCTTATCAAGTCAATGTTACATGCCCTACACTATCGTTTCTCTTTCTATTTATATGAGATATATCCCTAATCAACCCTAATAGTACAAGTGCAGAGAATATTCAATAGAATATCCTCTTTAATATCTTATTACAAAAACTAGTCGTTAGTATTCTGTCCTTGGTGCTCGACCTCGACCATTGTTAACTGCCCGGCCACGAATTCCACTATTTCCTGGTTGACCTCGACTGCATCTTTTTCCTTAATGTCATTTTATGCTAAACTCCCTTAGGGCAGATTTTGGCCTATACGGTTATTCCGTCCGCTTATTGAGGTCGACCATGGACGACCTCGATGAGCGAACTCTATTAGTTGTGGTTGAGAAGCTTAGGCAAGCAGGTCAACTAGTGACACCTCAGACGAGATGGTAATGTGGCCTTTCGTGAGCTGCAACCTAAAGTCACACTGATTCAAAGTGACGTCATGACATCATGCGTCATTATTACACGTTTTCCAGCTGCCTTGCATCGTTTCCCATGCCTCTGCCATTTCGATACCTGCGCTGGGTAATGATGGTTTGGTTTCTCGATCCCGGTGCTTGAACTCTTATAAATAGGGATATGAAACCATTTATCTACGTTTTGAACTCTTAGCATCAAATCTCTGTGTCTTCTTCTTCATTCTTCATATAGAGGTTTTGCTCTCTTTGCCTCACTACCATATATTTGCTCTCCCTGATTCCGCTGATACAGTCTGCTCACGACTTTTCTGCACTTACATTCTTTCTATATAAAAAAAATGGTTAACATATCTTTTAGTTCTTGGAGGGCAAGCGATCCTGTTCCTTTGGCGGTGCATATGCCTCCCCATTATGATAGTGTTCTTGTTGCCATCGAAGATGAGAATTTTCCTACGGTTGAGGAGATAATCCCTCGTAGTGAAAAGGTTAGATCCGATTTTTTGAAGGTGCCCGAGGACGACCCTGAGATCTCCGAGTCGTTGATGAAAGAGGCTGAAATCGCTGAGTTTAGGCCAAAGTTCAAAAATCCTGCCCACATCGATTTAATTCCAGCTGAACGCGATGCGGTACAAATACATCGTCCTGGGTATTGCGCTTTCTACGCGTACCCTTTCTACGTCGGGCACTCTTTCCCTATTCTCTCACTGGCGGAGGAATTTTTCCGCTATTACGGCATTTGCCCGACCCAACTTTCTCCATGTATCTACAAGCTTATCCGCATGCTCACGAAATATGCAAAATTAGCCAGGGTAGGGGTGTCACT